ATCAAAAGAAATGTATTGAATTTATGCAAAATGAGCAATCATTAATACAAGGGACTTTCTTCTTTTCCAATTTGTCCTATAAAATTATATAAAGTAGGTCAGAAAAAAAGGGAGGAAAAAAATACTTGAAGATCGACTTGATAAGGAATATCTTCCAATTACTGGTCTTTCTAGCTTTACTCAAGGTGCAGCTCTTTTGGCTTATAGTAAAGATTCCAAACCTTTAAAAGATGGATTAGTAAGTAAGCTGATGAATTTTTGCTCATTGGGATTTTTTTTAAAAATATAATTAACTTGAAACGCATTTCCTTTATAGATTTCAATCACTCAATCGATTTCAGGAACAGGAGCTCTTAGAATTGGAGGAGTGTTTTTATCTAGATATTATCCACATGCTAAAAAAATCTATTTACCTAAACCAACATGGGGCAATCATAATGCTGTTTTTAAAGATTCTGGTTTAGAAATAGATTCATACAGATATTATGATAAATCAACCAATGGATTGGATTTTAATGGATTGCTAGAGGATGTTCAGGTATTAATTAATTGATTAATTAATCAAATAATAATAATGTGCTTCTTTATTGTTTTTTGTTGATTATTTAATTATTACTATTAATAATAATAACATGTATGATTAGTACGCACAAAAAACTCAACCTTTTTGTTACATGCCTGTGCACATAATCCAACAGGAGTAGATCCAACCCAACAACAATGGGATGAACTTTCTGAAATTATAAAAGTATTTAAACTATATATATATATATATATAATTTGATTTTATTTATATAGCAAACCATTTGTTTAAATTATATGTATGTATGTATAGCAACGTGAACATTTTCCATTTTTTGACATGGCCTATCAAGGTTTTGCATCAGGAGACACTGATAAAGATGCTTATGCTATCCGTAAATTTATAACTGATGATCATCGGGTAGCTTTAGCACAATCATTTGCTAAAAATATGGGGCTTTATGGAGAACGTGCTGGTGCATTTTCAATTATTTCTGAAAGTTCAAAAGAAAAGGCTGCAATTGATTCACAACTTAAAATACTAATTAGAGCCATGTATTCTAATCCACCAATACATGGTGCAAGAATTGCAAGTTATGTACTGAACAATCCCGAACTAAATAAAGAATGGTAAGTTGAAGAACAATAAACAATCAATGATTAATTAATGATATTATAAATGAATATATATATACCTTATACATATTTTTAAGGTTAGAAGAAGTAAAAGCATGTTTTGGTACACTGGATTAAAACCTGAGCAGGTTTGTTATAAATAAATAAATAAAATATTTATTTTCCTTAAAAAATTAAATTATTAAATGATAAATTTATTATTATTTTTAGGTTGAAAAACTTACTGCTGATTTTCATGTATATTTAACCAAAGATGGACGTATTTCCATTGCTGGAATTTCTTCAAAAAATGTTAAATATTTAGCTGAAGCCATACAGGAAGTTACAA